TCCTGTCTACACCCCATTTTACCCTTTCCTGTCTCCACCTCCTGAGTGCTGGGATTAAAGGTGTGTGCCACTACTGCCCAGCTTCTTTAGTTAACTAGTGGCTAGCTCCACCATCTGATCACTAGACAAGATTTATTTGTTAGAACACAAACAAAATATCACACAACACACTGCAGACTTGTCTTGGATGTCCTATTGTTGCCTTGTGTCATAGAGATCCTGTAGTATTGGATCTGCAGGTCTGGCCTTTCACATGCTCCAGCAGATCCAGGTGAATGTTGGGGCCAACTTAACCCTGGTTCTGGGCCTGGGTGGTAACTGGGTTGGCCAGCGTGCCAGCTTTTCCTCATTGTCACCACCAAGCTGAGTTCTCCAGCACTGCCCTGGCTAGCTCACCCAATGTAATAGAGAGCATGGAGCAGGGCCTTATGCTCTTATGCCCTTACGGTCAGCTCACTTGCATCCACACCACCAAGGAGAGCTCTACCGTTTTGCCCAGGTGAGGTGCAGGATCCATCCTCTGGTGTGCTGCAGCCTGTGAGGCGTTGGGTGAGCTCTCCCAGTCTCATTACCCCCAGGCCTTGCTCTCTCACCTGCCACAGGTGGCAAGGGGAGAGGGGGGAAAGCAGCTTATTTTCTCTGACTATTCCTGTCTCATGATACTATTCTAAAATACTTTGCTTACTGGGATCTCACACAGTAGGAATTGTGCCCCAAACTGTCTCACTGTGTTAGTATAGTCTTTCCAAGGCTACATAGCCAAGAAAGATTGCATCTTGAATTTAAGTAAGTTGGGCTCTAAAAGCCACAAGGCCCCTGCACAACAAAACAATAGCATTATTTTTCTTCAATGATATTTGCTTTTACTAAATCATACATAGACTGCAAAGGTAGAGCTAAGTGGAGGATGGTAAATTTAAAAATAATATGACAAAATTGGTACCAGCCTTTTCCAGTTGCCACATAGTAAAATTGTCAATCAGGAATATTAAATTTATGTTCAGTTCTACATAGAGTTGTGATGGGCCAACACTGCCACACAGATTTAGGTTTTCATGCTGTTCTCTGACTATAAATATCCATTTGGAAATTTTAACTGGTATTTTCAGGAGGGTCAGGGGATTAAAAGTAGATATAGTTTGACCCTTGGCTAGCTGTAAATTCAAGCTACTTTTTGGAATGTACTTGTAAACTATGTTCATAATTTTATTTGTCATTTATAAAGTTGCAGGATTTTTAAATTCCAGGTATAATTTTCCACCTGCCAATGCCTTGCCACTTTGGTCCCACCTGTGACCCCTTCCCTGCTGTTGTGGGCTAGTCCTCACAGTCTGGAAGGTCACTGTAGGAGTAGGTCTGGCAGCCTCTGCAGGTTCTATAGATGATGACCAGATGGTAACACCCTGGCACAAAGACCAAGATGCCCACAATCAGGACAGCGATGGCCCGGCTGATCCCCACGTGGCTGATGTAGCCGGTCAGCAGAAGGCAGCCCGCCAGGATGAGAGTGGTGCCAATCAAAAACTGCAAGGTAGTACAGATGATGGTCTTGAGAGGAATCTTAGCAGGGCTTTGGTTTAAGAAGTAGGAACTCATGTCACCGGGACCTCTTTGATTTAGAGTCAGCCGCTCAGATTCCCCCCTGAAGGTTACACAGTCTCCTGAGTCAGCACTGAAGAGCTTCCAGTATTTACTTTGCTCTGGGGTTCTCAACGTGAACTCGCTGCTCAGAGCCCTTTCCAAGGTTGCAGTGCCCGGGTCAGTGCAGGAGAGCAATGTTTGCTTTGTTCCGGGGATAGCAATGTGAACTTGCAGCTCAGAGCCCTTCTCAAGAATCAGTGTGGAAGAGCCTCCAACGCTTACTTAGCATCCGGGGATCCCAGTGCTACCTTGGTACAAGTGGGTACCATTATCGCTAGAGTGGATGAACTTCACCTGGCTGCCATGCAGAGTGCAGGGATATCCCGAGAAGACCTGACGGTTGCCCGTAGATGCACGCGCGGCAGTTTCCTCGGTGTCGTCTCCCATCTGCCTCCACCAGACTAACTGCTTCTGAGGAGCTGTCATCGAATGGATTTTTAAATCTCTAAAACTAAGATGATTTTGATGGATAGTATGGTCTGGACCGTGTTTTTGTTGAGATTTAGGCCAGCTCTAGTAAACATCCTAAATTTATTTATTTATTTATTTATTTATTTACTTGGTTTTCGAGACAGGGTTTCTCTGTGTAGCTTTGGAGCCTATCCTGGCGCTCGCTCTGGAGATCCGCCTGCCTCTGCCTCCCGAGTGCTGGGATTAAAGGCGTGTGCCACAAACGCCCTGCTCCTAATTCTTTTATAATTGAAATTATTACATCAGCTACACTATGCTCAGGCAGGTCCCCAGAATTCCATCTTCTCTCTGGCCTCTTCAATTTGTCTAACAAACAACTCATGTATTTAATTTGAACAGTCCAAGTGGCCAGTGGATGGGAAGGAGAAGTTGAGAGGCTGGGAATTCATCCTGGTGCAGCCCCTTCTTCAGTGTCCTTGGTCACGGTCCCGTACCGGAGCCTAACCCATTCTGCACAATGCAGGTAGTAGCAGCAACAGCAGGTCATGAATCGTGAGTGAAATGCAACCAGGGCTCTGTATGCGCCCTCTCTGAGGCTTAGGTCCTGGCAGCGTCAAGGCAACCCAGACCCACGTTTTGGCTTGTTTTCATTTGTTTGGTTTATTTTGTTGTCGTTGTTGTTGTTTATTTTTGTTTTTTGAGACAGGGTTTCTCTGTATTGTTTTGGAGTCTGTCCTGGGACTCTCTGTGACAGCTGAGTGACAGGAGATGAACTGAGGAGCAGCAGCTCCCTTCAGAGGGCAGCAAGCAGAATCAGGGGAGTTTTCTAAGAAGGGTAGAACAGTGAGGCTTGCACTTAGGTGAGGGCATCTGAATTCTCTCCCAACTCCTGGAGTTCATGAATCCAAACAACAGCTTCTTCATGAATTTATTAGCCTGTGCCCCTTTTCTGTCCCCTAGGCCTGCTTTTCCCAAAAATATGATGTCTTAGCAGTGTCTGTATATAACTCATCTGTCACTCTTGGATCAGCTTAACCTCATCTGGAAAATGAATTTTAAATCCAAACATTGAGTTCTATTTTCAACATGTATTCCTTTATGCTTGACATTACCTCATTATTCAAAGTAAACATAAACACCAGGTTTTCCAATAAATCCTTAGACAGAGAGTCTAGAGTTGTTTGCTTCCTACAAACCCAGTTTTTCTTATAAAATTTTCTTTGTAATTGTTTGCATTTTGTAACCATTTGCATTTAATACAAAAATTAAGGGCTTATGTTCATTTGCATAGATTCCATAATGTACATTGCCTTCCCATTCACATAGCTCAAAAATAGGATATTGGCTCTATTTGGCTTCAGTGTCATGCAGCTAAATACTATTAAAGCTAGGAATATATATATATATATATATAAGATCTCTCTACTAATAGGCAGAGGCAGAATAATATTTTCACCCTAATACCTTGTAATTAAATCAGCATGATCTTTTAAAAAACTTTTTATTGATTCTTTGTGAATTTCACATCATTCACCTATTCACCTCCCCATCCCCTCACTTCTGCCTGGTGAAGGTAGCGCCAGCTATTTGATCCATTCTCATGCCCGGGAGGTTGGATCTCCCACCTGTTGCAGGTGGCAAGGGGTAGGGGTAAGTGCACATTTCCCTTACCCTTACCATCCCATGGCATATGAGGGAGGGGTGCAGCTTCCTTGCTCTCCTGCTGACAGGCCAGTCTCACCTGTGCCCTGCTGACAAAGTGATCTCTATCTAGTGAGCTGCCCAGGTGAGGTGCTGAACCTGCTCTGCCATGTGCATAGCCATTAGAGCCACTAAGGGCCACACAGACATCAAGGGCCTGGGATGCCATGTAGGGCCAGGTTAATGTCCAAGTGTTGAATCTCTGTTGGGGCCATTAGATATAAGTAGCCCGTGCTGCCACCCAGGGCCATGATGTCCTCTGGGCCTAGATCACTGCCAGGGGCCATGTCTGGGTTCATGGCCCTGCCATAGACACCATCTGTGTTGATGTCCATGACTCCTTTTACTACCAAAAGCAGTGAGGATAGGACTGCACAAAGTTAGTCTTGCCCCTCACTGGCTGCACCAATCTGGAGAGCAGGCCCTACACCTCCTCAGGGCAGCACAGCAGAGCTGTCCCTGCTAGTGGGGTGGGGGAGAGTAGACCCTGAAGATAGGCAAGTGGGAGAACTAGCTCCATGGTCTGTCACAAGGATATGTGGGTCCCAGAATGATACACACTTTGCCTCCCTCACCCATCAATACAGACTCCAGCTGGGATTGGACCATAGACCCAGACATGGTCCTTGGCAGCAGCCAGGGCCCAGATGTCACCATGGTCCTGGTTGGCAGTGAAGGTCACTTACATCACCATGGACCCAACAGCAGCATGGCCCTCGAAGCCCCACATAGCCCCCAGTAAGAGCCCAGATCCCAACCAGGATATGTTTAATCTTTGATTGTTATGTCTTTACTGCACACTGAGATCTGTCACATTATTATTTAAAGGCATGTATGTTTGTGTATGACATCTCTATTTCACACAGCACATTTTAACAGTTCTATTGATTTTGAAGGCAATGAATTAAAGGTTAATTATAAGAATAAATGGATTTTTACTGTTTATTTGATCCTACATTAATTGCAGGTAAAGAAAATGTGAACTGTAGACTACTCTCTGAAGACGTCTATAAGCCATGTTTTATGTTTTCTGTTACATCATTTTTGTGAAGGATAATAATGCTAGTAGCTACCTTTAAAATTAATGTTATGGCAAGCAACCTAAGAATAAGCTAACCGCTTTGTTCATGAATTTTGCTTTATAATTAAATAATTAAGTGAGAGGAATACATTGATTTTAATATTAAAGTATGCCCTCCTTTGGTTAGTACATTTTTATATGATTAATTTGCATGGTAATTAAAATTCTACTCCTCATTTATATCCCAGATGAACTTTAAGGGAAAGTTCTTCATGTTCTTGTAGAATATCATGTCAAATCTTTCATTCTGCTCCACAGTCAAGTGACGTTTCCAATCTCCAATGGTACCTAATGAGAGAAGCACAGGGTTAGTGCTTAGGCAGGTAGAGCTACCAAGGTGAAGTCCACCCCACCCACTCTACTCTCTACAGCCGCACTGCGCACCATTGAGTTCTCCATAGGGCTCGGTTGGCTCCCCTCTCCTCTTATCTCAGAAGAATGCTCAGTACAAGGAGCTTCATAGTCGCAGCATAGTAAATAGGTATCACTAGCTACTACCACCGAATTTACAATCAATTTTTAGAAAGGAAAAACCCTTTAAAAGTTAGACAAATATTAGGATTTTAAAAGTACATTTTACTATGTGTCAATCATACCAAGAAACACTTATACTCCAAACACAATCTATTTCAAACACAACCTTCCGAGGTGTGTGTGTATGTGTGTGTGTTTCATATTTAAACAGAAAAAAATTAGCCTCTAAGGTTTTCAGCAAGTCAAGTCAAGGTGACACAGAGTGTTGGAACAGCTAATGTTATGATTTTACTGGATAAGAATTTGAAATGATCACAGTTAAAATGAAAATAGCCGTTTGGGATCCTTAGTTGTCTTAGACAACAATATCATTGTTTGCATTTGGAACAGATGGCAAGCTACTATGGGTAAGACATTGAGGAATGAGATGTGAAGATTGAGGTTAAATGGCAGAAGAGACAAAAGAGTTTGAAAAATATAAAAATCCAGAGATACTAAAATGAAAGATAATGATCATAATAATGATAAGAGTTTCAAGAGGGAAAAGTTCATTCTTAACCATATCTCTTGGGGAAAAAAATGAGATCATAACAAGTTTATTGCCTGTTTACTTAATTGAGTTCATATCAGATAAAGACGTTAAAATATCATTCTAATTTTTATGATGAAAAAATCTCACACATGAGGAAATAACATTTTAAACTTTATCTTCAATATAAACATACAGTAAGTTTACTTGTACACTATCCTAGAAAAAAATCTCAAAACTGTTCTTGTCTAGGCAATGCATAGTGTTTCAGGTCTGTAATCCTAGCACTCAGGGGGAGTGGGTGACAGAGACAAGAGTATTATTAATTTAAGCAACCTTGGTTGCTTGGGCTACACTATGAAACACTCTCTCTCTCTCTCTCTCTCCTCTCTCTCTCTCTCTCTCCTCTCTCTCTCTCTCCTCTCTCTCTTTCCTCTCTCTCTCTCTCTCCTCTCTCTCTTTCCTCTCTCTCTCTCTCTGTCTCTGTCTCTCTCTCTCTCTCTGTGTGTGTGTGTGTGTGTGTGTGTGTGTGTGTGTGTGTGTGCATTGCTACTACAGACCACTAAACATCACCTTTTCGGAGGAATCCTCCATCATTTCTTGCCCCAATTTCAGTTTTTACGTCTTCATAATTGGCTCGTGGGTCAGATTTCATGTTCTGAAATGTAGCTTGTCTCACCACAGCATCCACATCGTCTTCACTCAGTTCTTTCTCCAGAAAACTGCAGATTTTAAGCACTGAGCTTCTAAGGTCCTGCAAATGTCATGGGTTGAGAAATTGTTGAACTTATAATGGAGGTATGAGTTACAGTCCAACGTGTAACACAAACATGTAGGATTTACTTTTGGAATGTGAAGGTTGTTCGACACATGAAAACAGGATCAGGGTGAAGGAAAAACTGAAATCGTTATTTATTGCCATTGATACAGAATAAGCCATCAATAAAACACAACTTTTTTGAGACTTTGTAGCCAAAGCTGGCCTAAAAATCAGTAGGTAGCCTATGCTGCCTTCAAAGTTAGAATGGTCTTCATGTCTTAGCCCCCTTGAGCTTGGGTTAGAGGAAGGAGGTGTTACCCCTGTCTCAATATCTTTTTAAATAAAAGCATCAACAAAGCAGTACATCAATGCAGAACACTGTATATTAAATACTTGTAGCTAGAATCACACTTGGTTGAGAAGAATATGCCCATTTTCATTGAGGTCTGCTATAAGATTTTACTACTTTTATTTAACATATTCCTGGGAAATAATAGGCAGAGCGTTTAGTCAATAAAGATTAAATTAAATTAATTTAGCATCTAAACTAGAGACAAAAATGTAAGATAAAAGCAAACAGTATAATTTCATATGTAAAAAGAAAAAATGAGGAAAAAGGATAAAAACCTGCTAGAACAGTGAGATTTTACAAAGCTGTAAGATATAAAATCAAAATCATTACACAAATATGAGTTGAAATTTGAAATACTTGTAAAGAGTAATCCCAAAGGAAAATAAAACTTTGAATTGGTAGGATTAAAAGACCTAGGAATAAATTTTAAAAAGGCTAAAACAGGTCCATTGAAACCAACAAAACATTGATGAAAGAAAAAGGAAACAGAAATAGAACAGTATCCTACACTCATGAATTGGAGGACAGTTATTTCAAAGATATAAAACTAACCCACAAATTCTATGCATCCTGTATTAAAATTGCAATGATTCTTTTCATTTTTGCAAGAAAAGAAAATCTAAAATTCATATGATATCTCAGAGACCCTGGACAGCCAACCTTGAATAGAAGATTACATTTGGAAGAGCCACACTTTCAGATATCAAAATTACTTCATTACATTTTACTTGTTTATTTATTTATTTGTGTGTGTGTGTGTGTGTGTGTGTGTGTGTGTGTGTGTGTGTGGACACACACACTCATAGGAGCTGGTTCTCTTCTTCCACCATGTGTGTCTAAAGGATTGGATCTGTGTCATCAGGATTGACAAAAAACCCCTTTACCTGCTGAACTATCTCTACCCACAAAAGATGACTTTAATATCATTGGTAATTCTAATAGTGTGGTAATGACTTGAATACAGCAATGAACTAATAGAACTGAATTGATTTCCCACAAATCATCTTTCACCTATAATGTTCAAACAATTTTTGATATGACTGCCAAGAACTTTAAATGGGAAAGGTCATTCACTTAAAAAATGTTCTTGGGTTAATTGGATATCCATATGCAAAAGAATAAAGCTGAATTTTCATTCTACAGTGTATGTCAAACAGTTTAAATTTGGTCAAACATAAAAGTAGGAGCTTAAGCTATGATGTTCTTAGAGAAAGACTTAAAGAGAATGATTTTCAGCACAGAATTTCACAGTGACGTTCTGAATATGCCTCCACAAGTACAGAGACATAGTGGCATGATTTACATCATAGGATTTCACAGTCATGTCTTGGACATGCCTCTACAGCTACAGGCAGCCAAAGAAAAATCTATTAAATTGATTATACTAAACTTCATAACTCCTGTGTTAAAGGGGACACATTCAATGAAGTGAGAAGTTAACCTGTAGAATTGGAACAACATTTATAAGTCATTTACCTGATACAGAATTATCCTCAGAAATCAACAGCAACAAAATCAACCCAATTAAAACTTTAATAAATCATCCTCAAAGGAATTCTAGAAACATCCATTAAACACAGGAGAAAATGCTCTACATCACTGGTTATGGGAAATGGAAACTGAAGAGCATAACCCTTTGCAAACTATGATGATGGCTATTCCTTAACAAATGACAGAAAAGGGGCTGGAGAGATAGCTCAGCAGTTAAGGGCACTGACTGTTCTTCCAGAGGTACTGAGTTCAATTCCCAGCAACCACATGGTGGCTCAAACCACCTTGCATGAGATCTGATGCCCTCTGCTGGCATGCAGGCAGAAGACTGTATACGTAATAAATAAATAAAATCTTTAAAAACAAATGACAGAAAGAATAAGTGATGCAGCTTCTGGTAGTAATATAAAATGGTACATTTGTAAGGGAAAGATGTATGATGCTTTCACAAAATAAAAGCAGAATCACCATAAGATCCAGCAACTCCACTTCTGGCTTTCACTTCTGATTTCAAAAAACAATTGAATCCAAGATCTCTGAAAGATTTGTGCATCTATATTCGCAGCATCGGTATGCACAACAGCTAAAATGTGGAAACAAGCCAAATATATGCAGATTATAGAACATATCTACAATGGGATATTATGTAGACACAGCGAGGGAATTCTGATACATGATGTGATAAGCCTAGACGACACTGAGGGCATCATAGTAAGTAAACTAAGTCAATAGAAATACAACTACATGTTTCCACTCACACCAAGTACTAAGCATGAAGAAATTAATAGAGGAAGAATGCAGGGTGGTGGTTTTCAGGGATTGAGAGGAGAAAGTGAGAAGTTATGGTTTAAAGGTCCTAGGATTTTGGTTTGACAATCGGAAAAGGATTTGGAGGGCAGTAATGACAAATGGTTGCATAACAAGTCCTAATGGTGAAATGTCACATTTTACATTATGGATTTTAAAATCATAACTAATAGTGCAATTGAGATTAATAACATGACTAAGAATATAGTAGTTGTTTATGACAGATTAATTTTACCTGGAGAAGTTAATGACATTCTTCATGATGAAGCAGTACTACCTCCAATTAAAGAGCAAAATAAATAAATAGATAAGAATGAACAAATGGATTTCCTTTGTAAATGTAAAGATAAATACTGATTTAGAGAAGCTTTAAATCCCTTCCATATTTAATGAAAGCTGGCCTTAAGAGGAGTCTACCCATGAAATATAAGAAACAGAAATGGGTTTGTGCAGAAGGCTTGTCTGAAATGCACTGGTCTGTCATCCTAATGGGATAATCAGTGGAGAAGTAAGCATGAAAGTTTAGACCCAAATTCCAAAGGTATTTTGCAGCAGTGGGCAAGAAAGACACCAAAACTGTCTTAATTTTGGTGAAAATATATTGCTAGAGAATGTTGTGAGCTTTATCTCTCTTTTAAAAACAGTTTAATTTCATCTATAATCATGGTATGATGTGTGCCTATATTCCATGGGTAAATACTCATTTTTAATGGATGTACTTATATGTAACGTTTTCACTTTTAAACTCATTCCAAAAATTCTGATTCTGTTCCATTGCTGTGGTTTTTATAACTCTTAATGTCTCTTCACTACTTTAGGGTTACAGGAATAGCAATCTATCATTAGCATGACCCACAGACATGCATGGTGTGTCTCCTGTCTCACGGACTAATTTCTTGTCCCCTCACACCTTCAATGTTCAAGTCCTTTTCTGATTTGGTTCTAAGTACTGTATTGATTCAGATAAAGCTCTATCTTGTGCTTGGCTTTTACCCATTTTCTTTTTGTTAATTCTTATGTTAGCTTGTGAATCTCATGTTACTTCTCCCGCCCAGAAAAGCCATTATCTTCAATTATACAAGAAACCTATGTATGAATGCTGACATCATATTTAGCATTTCTTTAATAACTACACTTACCAGTCTAAAATCTCTAAAGTTTTAAAAATCTCTCTCTCTCTCTCTCTCTCTCTCTCTCTCTCTCTCTCTCTCTCTCTGTGTGTGTGTGTGTGTGTGTGTGTGTGAGAGAGAGAGAGAGAGAGAGAGCATGCACGTTAATACTGCACGATGGGAGCTTGTGTCATGAAACATGGGTGGGGCTCAGAAAATAAATTTATGGAGTTTTTTCTGGCCTTGCATCTTTATGAATGTTGTGAGGATTGAACTTGGGTTTGCAGGCATGCATGGGAAGTCTCTTTAGCCTCTTAGCCATGTTACCAGTCCAAACACATTTATGGATTTTATTTTTTTTACTTTGGGTTTTTGATTTTTGAATCTTTGCCCTCCTTGTTAACTCATGGACTCTACAGAAAGTTAAGCCCTTGTTTACTTTTGACTCATTGCGTATCACAGAGACACCATTCACTCAACTTTCATTGATCAGCATGTCCGTAAGTGCTCAGAAAGTGGTGAACATCAACTCTTTTTCTTTTACACATCCTGTTAAGATACTGTTTAATTGTGGTCAATAAAAAACATTCTATAGATTCATCTGAGAGATGCCTTAAGGGAAAAAAAGGGAGAACTTGTCCCATCAGTCAGTTCTGGTCTATGGCTCTAATTGTCCATTTTATAGTAGTTACATGCCTCACTGCTCTTTGTTGGCCTTCATTAAGTAGTGAGCATGGAAAACCATAGTAAAGTGGATCATCATGTCAGCTGTAGCATCCCTGAGTACATAGCCAATGGGAATGAAGTCACCATTCAAAATCTTATTGCTTTCTAGTGCTATTGCTGTACATTTTCAACTGCAATAAAGGGACTCAGCCTAGTGTCAACTCAACAGATAAGAGAGTAAAGAATTTGTGATATGTGTCACATATACTATACAATCATTTATTACTCAGATATAAAAATGAATTGAAATTCTTTCACCTACAGTAAAATGTATGATGCTAAGTACATCAGGTTAAGTGAAATAAGCTGGCCAATGAGACAAATGTCTTGTATTCTCTCATATATGGAAACTTAAAAATCAACCCCCAAGTAGAATTGTGTTTAATAGTTATTGGGGAGGGTCTTAGAGGGAATGAAAGGAATGACAGTGCAAGAAGAGTGGCAAGATAAGGTTAAAGCATACTCTGTTCATGGGCAGGAAGATCACATGAAATAAAATTAACGGACATAATGAATGAGTGATGATAAAATTGTTAATTATGGAAGTCATTGCTGCTGTGAATTTTTGAGGTTGCCTTTGACACTGGTGGCTGCATAAGAAGGGATCCCAAAAGATGACTGTACAGGGAGGACAGAGTACTGGGGAAGTCCAGTAAATGAGGCAAAGGCCAGACATTAAGAATCGCTTCCAACAAAAGGTGCAAGGAAGAATTACAGTATGAGGATAACTGGGAGAATGTGCTTTCAACCAAGAGCAGAACGGTGCAAAAGCAATCGTTTACAAGCACAGCTTTCTCATCTTACCTTCTTCATATCTTCATAGCTCTGGAACATGATATTGAAGTCATGTCTGTGTTCATACCAGCCTTTTATGTGATCAAACCAACGGCTCCCTACCACTGAGAAGAGAGGTAATGAGTAAGAATGCCAAGCTGTGTGTGCATGTAGTGAACAGCAAACTCTACTCCTTTTCTGGTTTGGAATTTTCAGAAATAAAGCAGAGTCCCTGCAAAGGACATGCATATCACTATTTAAAATGTCTAGTGGTTTGGGGGATCAAGTACCTGACATTCATAGAAACCCACCTATATAAAGTTACTGCAGGAGTAGGAAGGAAGCAATACAGAAACTAAGGGCCTGAGGCTGAAGGTAACTTTAAGGCTCACTGTTTCATTTTCCTACTTCTCAACAGAGGGCACATGTCTCCATTTCTCCTCTTGTTTTCTCAGATGTCTGGGCAACAATGTTCACTGTCTATAGTGCACAGAAGCTGAGTACCATCTTACAAATAAGCAAGATCCCGACTCCACATGCTTTGAGCCTCTTGTATTAATTAATTTCTGTAAGTAGTGGAATGAACAGTTCCACAGATGCAGTATAAGGCCTAATAGGCCCATTCAAAACACACACTTACCCTCAGCATTTGCTCTGACAGAATGGATTACTCTGCTTTTGTCACTAGTTGAAAGGAATTGATGGGGTATCTGCGAATCAAGATAGTCCCTACATGACATGCCTTTGCTGCCCCGACAATCCTCAAATGGTGCATAAAGATAGAAAAGCCAGTTGATGGCACATAGACTTGACATACAATTATCGCTAGAGATGAGTTGTTTGGGTTTTGGTTTTTGTTTGTCTGGCATTGTTTTTCTTGTTCTGGTATTCTTTTCCTGTCCCTTTCAAAAGAACAGAGAATTTCACTGCCCTGCTCCTCTTCTTTAAATTGTGCTCTGTAAGTCTGAGAATTTGGCTAGCTGGCAGCTTTTGTGTAATCATTTCTGTCTGGGTAGATGAATTAACACTTACCATTTCCATCTAGAAATGTTTGCATAAAAACTTCTATAGAATCTGCAGCTTGAAGTATAGTCATCAAATTTGAAAAATGAAAATAAGAAGTCAAAACATCTTTAGGATTTCTGTAGACATAAAGAATCTGTGGACAAAATTATGGAATAGTTTCTTTAAATAAACCTTGGTTATACTTACAAGTTTTTAAAAACAATATTATAATATTTGATTATGACAATTATGGTGATATATTGTTTATGATTTGTTAAAGTCACTGAAGATCAAAATAGCAAAGCAGACATACTAGTTAGCCATAGAAGCCAGGCACACACATTTAAACCCAGGACTCAGGATTAAAAGATATACGGATCTCAGTTAGTTCAAGGCCATACTGACTACATGAAATTGATCCAGTCCTAAAAGAAACAGCTCACACAAAGGTGATCTCAGTACCTGGGATCACATGCCTTTAATCCCAGCACTAGGAAGGTGGAGACAGGAGTGATATGCCTGGGTGACCAAAGGACTATGAGGAGGAGGAGACAGGATCTGAGAGCCTTTTGCCTCTGAGGATGTGTGGGAACCAGAATTGCCATTTCAGGTGGGTAAGATCTACTGGCTTGGCTGCTTTGCTTCTCTGATCTTCAGCTTGAAGCTTGAACCCCAATATCAGTCTTATTTTTCATGTTACAGACAATAAGCATTATTATTTCTTCTAATCTTTGAGTTGTGGAAAGTCAAGCAGTTACTGCTTTTATTTTTGGTACTATTGAGAGTACTGTAACAAGAAGCCTTTTTATATGGGATTTCATACATGAATAAGAATGTAGCTCAATTCTCAAAAAGCATTAGTATTTGTAATATTCATAAATACTGAAAATTAATTTGCCTTATGTGATCAAAATATATTTGATAAAATTTTTAATTAAAATTTAAAAGGAAAAGTAATTGCCACAAGGATCAATTGATGGGTATTATGTGATACTAGATATGAAACTAAGGTAGCAGAGAAGATAAGTCTAACAACAAAAAACTAATAGTCATATTGCTATAACTAGTAATCCACTTAAAATCTTCAAAGAAAAGTGAGTTTTCCTTCATATTTTTCAGAAAAATAGCATAAACATGATTTAAGAGGATAAATATTATAAAAATTGACACAGAAATAATAATCTGGGGGTGTGTGCCATAATACTGGTATCTGGGAGTCTAGGTCAGGAGGAGGACCTCGTGCCAGCTTTGGCTACATGCAAGACTCTCACAAGAAAAAAAAAGGAATTACAAGAAGGTAGGGAGGAGAAGAGTTAGAAATAAAACCAAAACCCAAAGAACATATCTTTAGGCTTAAAGCAAGGAAAAATGTCTAAATGCAAATTTATTTAAAAGAAAAATCAGTTTGATAAAACTAAAATTAAGAATTTTGCTAATCAAAACACACATGAGGAAAGCAATGTGGATAAGCTAAAGTAGATTCCTGTCTAAAGCTGATATAAAGCCAACTGACATGAAGAATGTAATAAAATGCTGGGCTAATGGTAGAGCGTCTCCACAGAATCAAAAATAATTATGACCAATAAACATCAAACACAATTACTTCCATTATGAGAAGAGTATACAAATTAAGATAAATTTGAGACACCTTTTGGCAGCTGTGATGCTGATAAGCATCTAAAAGCCTGGCATATGAAGTTCCTAGAGAAAAACTAAGAAGTCATCTACTGCACATTTCAACAAGAAATGATAATTCACTTTCTTCAGAAATATTGCCCCACCTCCATGAGTGGAGTGCCCTGAGAGCTGTCGCTCTGCAGTTCTAATTGTGGATGTGGATTCTAGGGAAGGGTGGGAGAGTGCCCAGGAGACGTACTCAAGAGTGTTCAAAGCAGCTGCATCATAGTAGCCAAACAACCGAATAATCTAATTATTCAGTACTTAGGGAAGGCATCTCATTGATACAATAAGTCACTAAGCTCTGTCATACTTTGGCCTTCTTCTTTTTGAGACCTTTTGGTGCTAAATAATATGGGAGGTGGGAAGCAAAGATGCGAGGAGATGGAATTTTAGCAAAATCCAAATTGTGATTATTGTACTCAAAGAATGGCGCTCTGTCAATTGTTGATACATTCTCAGTGCCGTTTCGGTGGCCATCAAAATAAATCAAGCTGAGGATCTGCTGAGTCCAGACAGTACCTGTAAAAATAGATAACAATCCTGTTTTTAATCCTGAAGTAGGTTTTAATATTGAATACAAACAGCAATGCCGTCCATCTTAAAAATGATTTGGAGCTTTCTTCTCCTTTAACACTCCAAGCAGGCTTGCATGTGCCCACTTTTCATTCCCTGTTGTCTGTATTTGATTCTCAAGTTGGTAATGCTGAAATCAACAACTCTTTGTTCCTTTTTCACTTAAATAGATGTGGTGATTTGGTAGTGATGATCCAGGTTATTCTTGTAGTGTCTGTGCATTCTATGCTTCTTGTGGGGTCGTTTTGGTAACATTTAACTGCTGTTGACATACAACATTTGCAGATATTAACAGGTAAAGTGCAGTATCACTACATATGGGTACATACAGTGTGGTCAGATCACACCAGGGACAGTGGCACTCTGTCTTGCTGCAAGGTTTTTTTGTTTTTCCTGTTTGGAGCTTTCTACCTTGTTTCTTAATTTTCATAAGAAATGTAGCAGGTTGTTGAATGCCACTTTATTGTTGTTTATGGGCAATTCTGACTCATTTCTGAAATTACTTCATTATTTGATGCCTTTAATTGCCCTTAGAACTGTAGAAAAACTAATAGAATTAAATACTTCAATTTCCCACCATTATCTTGCTTTGTGTTCTCAAAGACTTCTCTGGCATATTCCCAGTGATTGATCATAACCAAATATTTCGGTGTTATTGACATTTGGTCTCTGGACTATTAGACCAAGTCGTATAGGGGAAGTATTGGAAAATACATGCAAAATTCCAATTCTATTCCCTTTAGGAATGGACCTAGAAGTGATCAAATACTATAGTGCTGAGGTTTAGCCTTATTTATTAAAGGCTATTCTAGCTAATTCATTGGTGGAAGTGTAGATTTGATTTCTCAATTGCTATTCCCATTAAGGAGTGATGGGACATTGTATGAAGCAGAGCCTCTGGAACTTACAACAATGAATGGTTCTGGTATCCTGTGTGGCACAATATAAACACTCGCACTCATTTCAGTCTTCCCAGGGACCTTCAGAAGCACTCAGAGACTGTTTAGTGGCTAAGTTATTTAGCCATTATCTACAGTGAAACAGAGTGATAGCCTCACTGAGTCCGTCAAGTTCTATACCACATTAAACATCATAAAGACGGAAAGCAAAGTAGGATTTGATATGAACAAAGACGTATTTTCGCAAAGTGTCTTTATTTACGGAAATGGTCAAAGATGGACACAAAATTTTGGTGTCATGGTACACAGACAGCAAAACTAAGTGGGGGCCAGGCAAGGGATGCATGTGAAATCTTTGGTGTTACTATTTAGTCCGTGTTAACCATTGCAAAAACTTAAACCGAGGCCGGGCATTGGTGGTACACGCCTTTAATCCCAGCACTCGGGAGGCAGAAGCAGGCAGATCTCTGTGAGTTCGAGGCCTGTCTGGTCTCCAGAGTGAGTGCCAGGATAGGCTCCAAAGCTACCCAGAGAAACCCTGTCTCGGGAAAACAAAAAAAAAACAAAACAAAACAAACAAACAAAACCTTAAACGGAGACTTCCAAGTTTCTCCTGACCAGGTAAAAGTTACCTTTCCAAAAGGAACAGCAGTCTATCTTCATGTCCAACAGGACTTCATAGTGAAACAGGAGTGCTTCTGCTTGCTTGTTCTGTTTGGCCTCACAAACCTCAGGAGTAATTCTTTTGGGAAACTGATAAGTTTCTGTACCCTGATATCAAGTCTCTCCGTCAATGCAATAAGTCAAATCAGAACGAATTAAAGCCAGGTTTTAAACTCAGCAAAACATTCCTGGGTGGTCCCAGGGGAAGAGGAGAAACCACGAGGGAGAGGAAAGGGTGTGGGAGGAACTGCACAGGGCATGATCTTGAGCATCTCAGGGGAGGAGCTGACGCTCAGGACCCACGTTCCAGGTGGGGTCTGGAATGGGAGGAGTGAGACCGGTGAAGCTTTCATCTAAAGAGAAACTTCACAGCTTAAGGTTTTTGGTTTTTTTTTCCTGTTTTTGAGAATTTTAAATAGATTACAGTTGTCTTAGAAATCTTATCAACAAAATTAAATGTATTAGAAATTTAATCATTGTCTGAGATTAAAGCCTCTACATAACAAAGCATGTACCTTTTGCAAAAAAAGGTTTTTGATTACCTCAGACTTGTTCAACAGCCTACAGCAATGCACCATCATTTATCAACTAGCTGCTGTTGGCTCTATATTTGATCCATGCCCCCCATACCATTTTTCCCCAATAAATTACAATAAATGCATGACAAGTGTTCTCATGCATAGAGACTTCAGTTTGATTTAACCCCTTTTGACCATAAATTGTTCTAAACTGTAGGTTTCTGTGTTAGCTGATATTGGTTGTCTGATGGGATTTATGATATTCGTGGAGACAAATTGTTGGGTGTGTATAGGAGGGGTTATCTAGATTAGGTTCATGGAGTTGGGCTTCCTGACTGCAGATGGAAGTTGACAAGCTGCCTTAAGCTTCTGCCATTGTGACTTCTCCAACATGATGAGATATTCTGTTGCAGCAGTGAGAAAAGAAACTAATACAGTTGAATTGACTGAAGATGTGTGGAAAGGAGATTATTTATGCACTTATTATTGAACCAAAACAAACACGAATGCTACATGGCCTACTCATGTCACTCACCAGATTTTGGATATGTGACTAGGAAGACATCATCGTCTCTAATTTCATGCTTGTCCATATTTTCCACTATGTCCATTTTAACTAAAGATCTTTCAAAATTATAGCCTTTGAAGTTAAGTAAAAATTCACGTTTATTGTCCATAATGATTCACCTAGTGAGGAACCAAAAATTAAAATTAATAAAAGTTTAAAAACTTAAGCCCTGAAAAGAGAACTTCTAATGGTAAAGGAAGATTTAAGTCCTTAAATCAGGAGTGCCATGGCTGGTGCCTGAGCACCTGCTCTCAGAGAAAGGGAGGTGACTGTCCACCATTCCTGTTAACATTCCTTTGCTAATTGCTGGTCATAAAGGTCCCCTGCCAGTTGGAAAGATCTCCTGGACCAGGGGATAACTGACAGACCCTGTGACCCCATAACCCTACAAGTCCATGCCCTGTCTTATCTCACTCAAATGTATCTTGCTTAAAATATGTAGTTACTGCTTGACTCTGTACTTTGTATGACCTTAAGTAACCATGGAAATCCTGAAATTTGTAGCCTTCAACCTTATGGTCTACCCCTTTAAAAACTTCTCCTTTTGGCTGGTTGGCATCTTATTTCCCAGCCATGCAGTGAGATCCAAGCTGGCCGACTTGAACAATAAAAAGAAACCTTTTGCTTTTGCATCAGAGTGTCAACTCCTTGGGTTAGTCTCTGTGGCTCCTCGAGCCTGGCACACTAGGAGTAAAAATCATAAACTTTCCTCACAATCATAGTATTTTCCAATAGGGAGTAAAGCTTATTGAGTGGTCTGCATGTGCCAAGCACCACAGAAATGTCTCTCACATTATTAATTATAATAAACATAATCATATGCTAGGTTATTTAAATTTACATTAATCTTATGTTACTACATTTTTATTGTCATTATATAAAATATGAAGAAACAAACATAGCAGGAAGTTAGAATTTTTTTTCTGTAATTCCATATGGCAAAAGTGGTCTTAATTCTAAGCAAAGAGGCCAGGCGTTGGTGGCATACTCTTTTAATCCCAGCACTCGGGAGGCAGAGGCAGGCAGATCTCTGTGAGTTTAAGGCCAGCCTGATTTACAGCGCGAGTTCCAGGACAAGCTCCACAGCAATATAGAGAAACCCTGTCTTGGGAAAAAAATTCTAAGCAAACAGATGAGGAATTTAGGACACAGAGAATACAACAAAGTTATTCAATGTTGTCCAACTGGTCAATTTAGAGAGCTCTGACAACAAACAATTTGGGCAGAGTCCATGTTTGGTTTTTTTTGGGGGGGGGAGGAGATTTGAGACAGGGTTTCTTTGTGGCTTTGGAGGCTGTCCTGGTACTAGCTCTTGTAGACCAGGCTGGCCTCGAACTCACAGAGATCCATCTGCCTCAGCCTCCCAAATGCTGGGATTAAAGGTATGGGCCAACACTGTCCAGCCAGAGTCCATATTTGTAACTGAAGACTTTCTTTGTCCATTATATTCTTACCCCTTATACTTTTGTTATAAAAATAAGAGATTCCTTAAGGACTATGCCTCTAGTCTTTTTTTTTTTCCCTAGAGTATGGATAACCCACTGTCTGTGTGTAGTATTTCTGAGACTTGGCATCAGAGAGACCATTTCTAATAAAAATTTGTTTTTGCCTGACTAAAACCCACGGTCCTTAGAAACATCATTCTTGTATACTCACAAATATCACATGAAAATGTTTATAATGATATTATACTTTTCATCATAGGAATTTAAAATAAAAACATAGTATAAGTATTTTTTAAAATTATGATACAAAGTACCATGTTTCCATATGGCATTTTGTACATACTTTTTGGGGTGATGCTCTTATACTCCTCCCTGACCCCTGTCCCTGCAGATGCCCACCCTCATTTTTCTTACAAGTTGTAAATAATTTATTACTCCCAATGTCTTCTCTTCTTAAAACCTTTCCCTCTTACTGTCTCTTTACTTGCATAACTTATATTCATATT